AGCAAAAAATCGCAATTTAATACAGTATGAATAAAATATGAAAAAGTCCAAGCCGGGTGAATATTTTTGATAGCTACTATAGATACCTGTACTACATGTTTAATCATAATTAATGCCAGTTTTATTATTCAATCATTTGTTGTTTATTTAATAAAATAAAATATGGTACAAGAGTTAAAAAATGCTTGCTGTTTCAAATCCAAGAACAAATGGTCAAAAGAAGCACTTCAACATTGCAGCTCTGAGGCATCTGTGTCTCAGTTTATCGATACTGGCTGTGGGATTTCTTATTTGAGCATTTTATCATTGATTGGATTACAGTCCTATAATCCTGTGTGCTTTAACTAAAGATTCACAGACATTAGCTCATCTTTGTCTTCAGGCAGGCTCAAATGGCAGTCAAAACAAATGGCTGCAAAGCAGACCACAGAACATTATTAAAATCTAATAGAAGCCCATCTTGAGCAAAGCCCAGTTAGTCTGCAAAAAGGAAAAACCTTAACTTAATATTACTGAGATGGATCAACTCTTTTTTTTGCCCTTAATTACAGTACATTGCTTTCCCACATTTAAAGATCATTCACAAGCACAGTGGATTTGTCAAGTTCCTCTCAACACTTCCAAACTTGTCTATAAGTATCAGTCTTATGTATGACATCATTACGTATATCAAGCCCTGCATTTCACTCATGCCCAAGCTGCAGTTGTACCTAGTCTCTGATTGGTTCAGTGTCACTTGTATGCTAGAAGGTATTCATAAAACTTACTACTGCATATATTGGCAATAAACCACATCATTGTGTTTTTTTCATAAACAGGGTTTATCAGTTTACAGTAATGATAGTTGCATTACTGTGGCAAAAGATAACTATGTAAAAAAAAAATTGTTTACTAATTTGCATACAATGACAACGATTGATGAAAAAAAAATCACAGTGGTATATGGCATTTACTGGCACACAAAATATTTATCCTCAGCAGCTAAGTACATCATAGGCATTTATCAAGGGCAAAAGTTTAACTTTTATTCTATTTATGTTGCAACTTAACGTGTTAGTGGAGAGATGATGTGGCAGGTGACGCATGTGGCCACACAGGTTCTTGAGTCCTGGGTTTAAATCTGTGCAGAATGTGGAGTTTGCATGTGTTCCATATGTCCACTTGGGCTTTCTCCACATTGTTCAGTTTCTTTGTACTTCATACATACATACTGTCCAGGTTAAAGGGGAACTGCATCACTATGTTTAGATTTCGGGGTTAGAAAGAATCAACATTGATGAGTCCTTTTTCAAACCACAATAAAAGTAAAATGTACAAAGCAACTTGTAAAATGTCCATTTCTAAGTATGTGCAGCACCAAATTCTGCTATTCAGAATGAGGCAATAAAACATCCATGAAGCAGCCTTATTACATTGTAAACAAGCAGGCTTGTGAATATGTCTTTTAATTCAATAGAAATATTGCCCTCGACTTCAAGATGGTTTTGTCAACAAATACTACTTATTTGTTAACCCTGCCTGCAGATCACATTGGAACATTTCTGCAGTGAAATGTCTGCTGCACATCCTTACTTATCACACTACATTAGTCACTGCAGTGACTTGTGAGCACGAGGGGCCGCATCACTATTCGTGGAAAATCGCCCGTGGCGAGAACAGTGGTTTGCAACAACATGGCAGTTTTCAGTACTTTCACAAAGTTTACTATTTTGTGCTTAATTCAAAATTTGTAAAATTGTTCTATACTGTCAAATTATTTTGTTAATGAGATTTGATAACCAGTCTGAGAAATTGGGACTGCAGTTCCTCTTTCACTGCCATCTCTCAATTGGCCCACATGTGCTCTGCAATGGCCCGGTGTCCTGTCCAGGGTGCCGTCCCGCCTTTGTGAGCCAGCTCACCTTTACCCCCCAAGGACAAAGCGCCTACTGAAAATGGATGAACGGAGGATGCACTGCTGTCTGACACAATCATTTTATCAATAATAATTCATTGCATACAAGTGGTGCTTGGCACCAAAAGCCTGAAGTGAAATCTAAGAGCAACTTCCATTTCCACCTGGAATGTTTTCTCTCTTCATAGGTGTTTCATAACCATATCCTGCTCTTTTGCATAATTGAAGTAGTAAATTATAAATCTTAATTGGAACAGTATAATAAAAATAGAATTGACTGTTTACTCTTGGTCTCAAAGTCCTTTTATGAAGAGGCCACATGATTTCTGTGTTAAAAGGACTGTCGTAATTTGCCTGCCTTCGAAGCACCAGCTGTATGGTTTCAGTTAAAGTGTACAACATTTGATTTCTTTTCTGTATTCTTTACCAGTGGAAATAAACAATAATAAATGAGATTACATAGAAAAAAATAACACTATGATATATGAACCTACTTTGTGTTAAAGAAGAACCACAGTTTCTGCAAGCATTGCATACAACAAGGTGCAATTAAACCAAAAGGTACAAACTGTTTAAAAAACTAAGTTGTATGAGGGAAATGGAAGAAAAGAAGTCATAAATAAGCCACACACTGGCTTCACGGTAACCCTTAAGCATGCATTTGAATTCCAAGTATTGTAAGCCTGTTGTCTGGCGCACGAGAGACATACCTCCCACTCCCGGGTCTGGATGATACAATTTTCTCACACTTGACATGGGAAAGAACTCCTGTTTCATTGTCTTCATCTTCAGAGGGCTTGATCTGTAGGAGGGTCCTGTCTCCTTTTGAAAGTCCTTCTTCAATAGCCAATGAAGTATCAGGTTTTGCAAGAGAAGGTTCAGAATTCAGCCTCTTCAGAACTACAGGTAAAAACAACACCAGTCAGAACTAATAGAAACAGTACACTTCTTTAGTTTGAAATTAAAAATACCATATACAACCCATCGTCTAGGACCACTAATGATAATAACACTTATGTCTATATGGAGAACACTTCCTTATACCTGCATAAAAGTAATTGGATTCTGAATTTGGTTAAACAAAGAATTGTACAATTGCATTCAAAATTCAAACAAAAAAATCAAACAGGTTTTTATATCTCTGAACATATCCTAAATATTCTCAATATCCTAACTAATGTCTGTATGTTTAAAAGATTCCACCTTATAGGGAGAAAGGTCATTTTATTATAAAGACATACACCAAATGGCACTGTACAGTATACTAGCAAGAGGTTTAAAATACAACATTATATTCATAATAACTGGAGTGTGTTTTGAGATGCCACTCTGATGTGCTTTCTTTCTGTTATGATTAATGGCACTTACCTATTCTGTTAACTAAAGTTTATCAGTAATGTATATAAACCTGTGAGTTTGTGAATTAAAAACAACAAAAATAATTCCTACCACAAATATTTAGGGTTAATTTTATTTAGCAAAGATGTTCACTGAGTTTTACATTATGTGATCAGTAGGATGGATGACCCTGTGTTACAATGTACACTCAGCAAATGTACAGCTGTTGCTCTTAGAATAACAGACGTTAATTATAATTTGAGTAACACAGTATTGAAAGAGAAATCAGTAAAGGAGGACATAGAAGTAGTTTCACCTTTACAGTTTCCAAGTTTTCTGTAACCACTGCTTACACCAAAAGCAATTGGGATAAAGCAGAAACAGTTACACTGCTAACTGTGGCTTCAATATATTGACTTTAATGTCACAGACTTTGAAAAGTAACTTAAAAATTACTTTCAATCAAAATGTGCTAAAGTCCCTTAAAGTTATTCCTCCGCTGTATCAGGAATTTGTGTTTATAATTTATGGCATGAGAAACTTTTGTGCTGTACCAACTGTCACATACAGTACCTGTTGAACTGACATCCAGTATTACCCTGGATTATATCTGGAACACGAATTACGTCATCAAGGAAAATCACCTATCACACAGATTGGCAGAACAGCAACTGCAGCTTTGTTAATTGGTAATTAAAAGATAGGGATATATATGGAAAATATAAAAATAAGTGTAACATGGAATAGTCAATTATGAATGTTTAGGATAAAAGAAAAATCTGTTAATTTTAATTAGCTGTAACAAAATAAGGACCATCTGAAGAGGCTTAATTCTGCTTTGTTAATATTCAGTCAAGGCAGGAAACCACACACCGTTGTTTCTCCAGTAATAGTGTTAATCCTCATGGGTGAGAAGGGCTGCTTAACCAGATACATACTGTACAGTGCAGCTCACAAAGGGGTTTTATACGGCACCACATCTACTCGCTGACGGATAAGCAAATACAGTACCCTTTCTCACACTGGCTCGTTCTAACTGTACACATCACGGGTCATAACCAACAGCACAGCAATGTATAAAGTGAATACTAGATATTATTATTATTATTATTATTATTATTATTATTATTATATTTCCATGCTGAAAAATAGAAAGGAGAAACAAATCTGTTTGGCTGCTGAGCCTTCTTCATGTGTTCTTTAGCAACCGTTTCAGACACTTTCTGTGACCATGAGAGAATTTGGCTTGCCTTGGAATCACCTTTATGTAGTCTGAAACCATCTTTTGGAAGACAGAGTTATGTAAGCAAGAAAATCTAAATATAACACAGCAAATTTACAGACACTAAAAATGTAGAATATCCTCCTTTAAAATTAGATATGAACATATCCACTTTGTTCAGACCACATAAGGGTGCTTTCAGGAACACCATATGTGATCCAGTCACATAAAATGGTTGCCCGGCATAGAAGTACCTGGACCAGTGAAATAAATTTAATGTGGTTAAAAAAACTCAACTGAAAGCTAGACAAACATTGTACCCATTACACAAATTGGAAACACCGAGGCTCAAGAAGTAAACAATACCGCTCATTTTTTTCCTTGTAATCCTGAAAGAAAACAATTTCCTCTTTTGTAATAAGTGTATTACAGACACAATAGCAGGCTGATGTGTCCTCCTTGTCCTCGGAAAGCCACAGAACTCAGCAGCCCTATCCGAGTTGCCTCATAAATCAATCCAATATCCTTAAAAATTAAACATGTTGGTTTCACTGAACATTCTTATCTCTGTACTCCAATTATTGTAAACATCTAAAAACAGCAAGCAGGGACTGGGGTTATATTGGAAATTTGTCTTCACTCTGATCCTTGGAGAAAGAACATCTTTGAACAGCTGTCTCCAATTTAAAAATGTATTAGAGAAACTGATGGAGAAATTGTTTCTACAAGGAAATGCATTACAACAAACCATAACATAGTACATATCCGAAACCTTTCACAAAAGAAACAAAGCAATACACACATCATGTCAACTCACAGCTTCTACAATAAAAGAATGACATATTGGGCTGTCATCACTCTTGGACATCTGCATATTAAAATATGCTGTTCAGTTCAGCATATTACAGAACATAGGAATAAGTAATACTCATTACTGAACATGGGGATCAGTGAAAAAGAAAAAGTTTGTTCTATACCACAGCTGGTGTGTACATAATGTTTTTTTAAAAAAATATTTTTCATTTTTTTTACATCCCAGTTTTATGTTTTGAACGTTTTTTGGCTATTTGAAAGCAATAGCAAGATGTTTTGCTTAACTAACTTTTACCGCTATCATTTTTTGCACTGAAACTGATAGTGCTGGAACTTCATCCTCTCTTCGGTAAATATGAGAGACACCTCGCTGTGGCACTATTGCACTCAATGGTCCTCCATATCCTAGATTCTCTCTAGAATATCGGTTTGTGTTTCATCATATGAGCAAATAACCATGATGCAAACTATCCTGACATGGGTCCAGCAAAACTCTGATCCTGGAAGGTCACTGTGTCCTCCAGTTTTCTAGGTCTTTTAAAAGCTGAATCCCTTGATTTAGTCCATCTAAATCTGTAACTAGTTTCACCTGGTTAAGGGGCTAGGATGGAATGAAAACCTGCTGCAGACATACCAATCCCCCTGGGCCAGGACCAGACTGTCCTGACATAGACAGATAATTTCACAGCATGGGACTGTGTATTAAAAAGCACAAATCTTACGTTCTTCTGGCTGCATCATGGGGGGAAGCATTCCCAGGGAGCCAGCTTTGAATAAGCGAGCCCGAGCTGTGCTTGTTCTGTTGAGCTCCAGAGGATCAGCCGGAGGTTTGGGGAGAGGTGGAGAGGTGTCAAGATCAGGATCCGGACAAATAGGCAGTTTGGGTTTCTGTTAAAAAGAAATGCACGCAGAAATACATCATTGAAACTCAAGACTGCCATGTCCAGAGTTAACTGCAGTGAAGAAAACCAGTATACTAAATATAATACTACAGATCTTCCAATAAAAACCTCTGTCTAGAATGCAGATCTTACACCACAGCCACAGTACCACAGATTGTAGGGTTGATTTCAGGCTGTCATTCAAAGTCCTAACTGGTGGTGCAAAAAGGAGTTTGTTGGAAGACTTAGCTGGATGATCCTTGATTTGCTCCATGAGAGTGAATCATGCCAATAGGCAGATGCCGGCACCACTGTGTGCTATGTCTTTCCTGAAGCTGATGCAATCGAGCTCAAGGGATAAGCGTTTGTGGAGTGCGAGTTTTGGAAGGCACCTATTGCAACCGATATATCTGGACAACACTTGGGAAAATATCCACACAAAGACAATAACTCCTGACAAACAATGTGGAAACATCTCACAATGCATAGGGTTTTTTTTTAAGAAACCAGATGCCATCTTCTTGAAGTGCTATGACTGTTTGTTTCAGGCCTGTTTTCACTGCATGTGGAGTTTCATTTGGGCGGGGAATAGAGCAGTAAAACAAAAAGAAAAAAAGTTTAAGTGATTTCCCCATGAAGACAAAAATATAAACATACATATCGGTCTCTGGGTCTCCTAAAGTTAGCAGAGAAATGAAAAGGGAATTAACTAAAATGGAGGCCGAAAAGGGGGAAATTAATTGCCGAAACTAGAAAAGCATAAAATAAAAGATAAATATAAACCATCTGATTACACCAATAAGAGTATTAATATCAAATTACAAAGTCTATATTGGCTTAACTTTAAATAAATACAGTACATATTAGTTTCTAAATAAATGTTTAGTTCATAACAATTCAATAGGAGTTTTTTTTTACCAAGAGAACCCAAGTACAAAAAAAACAATTCTATAATAGTATACATATTCACATTCACAAGATTGTGTTGTCAGTTGTACATTTTTTTGATTAATTTTATTATTGTTATTAATTTCAGTCTGGTTTTAGGAGCTTGCTCTATTTCCGATGGCATGGGGCATTTTTAAGCAGTCCAAGAAATAAAAGAACTCATTATAGATTTAAAAAAACAGATGTGAAGTCTGGTTATCTTTCAAATCCTCCCCAAATTAATTTCGTATAGTCCAGTTCTGTAGCTTGATCTAATACTGACAGATACAATATTTCTGCTAATCAAATTTTCATAACTTCAAGAAAAGTCTACTTCATAGATGGTGCTACCTAAAATGTTATGGCAGCTGCTAACAGTATATTGCCATACTAAAACTTAAAAGCAGCCCTTGTGGGTACACTAAAAGAAACCCATTTCACTCAATTATGTATGTTAAGTATAAGTGGCTAGTTACAGGTCCTGAGAAACTCAATCAAAATTACACTCAATATTAAAACTCAAGTCCTTTGAGGACTGACCCTCCAAGTTAAAAGTGCAGATCCAGGCAGTATGAAATGTACAGTAGATGAAGAAAAAAACGTTTTACATACTAAAATATACAGCACCGACCTAAAGTCATTCTATTCAGCTAATATTCTACTCGAAACACCCTTACCATCTGATTAGTAAATTAATTAGAAGCTTAAAAGCTTTAAAGGAGAGAGAATAATACAATTGCCAACAATATTTAACAACCTTCTTTTATATTATGTTAATACCTTCTTTTCCAATGAAGGTGCTTCCCTTATGATCTTGCTTCCTTTGTGATTTTTATTATTGAATATCCTTCTTATTTAAAACACGAGATCTACAAACCATGTGGCCAGTGCTTCACGTTTTGCGAAAGCAAATAACATACTGTACATTAAGGAAACCATTCCCCATAGCTGTAACACTTTAATTTATACAGGACTGACAAAGATGAGCGGTCTTTTGCATTGTGCATATGTTCTGTATTTCACACTTTTCAGATATTTTATTTATGTTGTTAACCACTATACAGTAGTAAGTTAAATGGGCTAAATCCTGAGGGATACCTAATGGAACCCTATATGAAATCCTAAAGGCTATAGATCAATTCAAGGGACTATTTCACAATATGTAGTGGAACAAGAACACAGGCTCACAGGTAGAACCAAAAAGGGAAATAAATTTAAATTTATTAACCGAAAATATGAAATACTTTTTTTTGTACAGGGTTGTGTATATCTGGAAGTAACTTCCCAGCTACGAGGTTGAGCCCCAAACCCTGGGATCTTTTAAGATGGAAGAAATCTTAAATTCACTGAACTACTGATGTAGCAGTAAAAGGAGGGGTAGTATTACAAACTTCTGCTTATGTTCTTATTTTGACAATCCAGTCTCTTGGACACTTAGTTATATTGACTGATTTCTATATTTCTGCAAAGAATCAGAAGAGAACTACTGTTAAGAAATGAGGATTAATTTTCCTCATTTCTTAAGTCACCATTTGCATTGTCTACAGTTTCTGTGATCTTTTAAAAATCAGTGGAGCATTCATGCTCATTATATGAAAAACATTCCTTTTTAACAAGAGACATTCAGAACATCAAAACTGCTTTATGTACACTAACCATTGATAAAAATGTTAAGGTGTACAATAAGGTGTCATTAATTTTTGGTAAATAGAGCTGAGTGTGAAGAATAAGCCAGTTTTCTTTTTTTCTTCTTTTTAGAAATAGAAGGCTACAATCAGGGTAGCCTTATGATTGATATTCTGTAAAAGTTAAAGGGGAACTGCAATTCCATTTTTATATTTCCGGGGTTAAAAAGAATCGGCACTGATCAGTACATTTCAAACCACAATGAAAGTAAAATGTGCACAGTAATGTGTAAAACGCCCAATTTACATCACAAAATAGATTCAATTTCCAGATATGCGCAGCATCATATTCTGCCTCACAGAATGAGCCAACAAAAGCCCGCTTCACGTCACCGGAAGTTATTACATTGTACTTCTGTATAGCACTATGAAATCTAAAATAATAATAATAATTTAATATCAAGGGCCAAGATGAAACACATCTGCTCTAGTTTCTACATTTGCTAAAAAAGGGAACTTCAAACTTACATGTTCCAGGGGCGAAAGACGTTTACCTGAACCGGGTCTTGAGTCAGCTGTCTCGAAATGACGAGCATGAAGACTAAAAAAAAAGAAAAGATTAATCTGTAGTTCACTGGGTCTAACAACACCAAATGATTATTAATCATGATTATTCCTTACACTTATATAGTGCTTTTCTGGACATGCCAGCCAAAGTGCTTACAGGTAATGGGGTCTCCCCTCCACCACCACTAATGTGCAGCCCCACCTGGATGATGTGACGGCAGCCATAGTGCGCCAGAACGCTCACCACACACCAGCTATCAGTGGGGAGGAGAGCAAAGTAATGAAGCCAATTTATAGATGGGGATTATTAGGAGGCCATAATTAGTAAAGGTCAGGGCCACATTTGGCCAGGACACTGGGGTTACTACAACCCTTCTGTTTGTTGAGAAGCAAGCTGGGAATTTTAATGACCACGTAGAGTCAGGACCTCAGTTTTACTTCTCATCGAAAGAACAGCGCCTTTTTTACAAGTAGGGCATTACGACCCACACAGACAGCAGGGTGAGTGATCCCTAAGAATTAAGCATGTTAAAAGGTTTATAGAGCGTTTTAGTCACAGTAAATTCGGCTCAACCTGCTTAGCAGAGGGCTAACCTCCCACCATATGACCCCCATGCAGAGTGAGTGACCAAGGGGCAACTGCACATGTGGAGGTGAGATGCAAAAAGGCATACAGTATGTGAGGGAGAGAAGAGGATTATTTACAGTGTATCATTTACAATGTTTAGGTGAGGAAATGATGTCAGCATTGATTACTAACTACTGCCAACCATGGTTGTTTGAAGTGACTGTTGTCATCCCTCCTGAACTTTCTTCAGAAACTCCATTTGACTGGCTGCTAAATTCATGAACAGATTGCTAATTTTAAATTAAATTATGTTTTGTATTCTAAATTAAACTAATACTCCAAAACAAAGATCTGCAGATTTGCAGATAACCACTGCAAAGCAAGAGGGGTACCAGACTCCTCTCTAGCGTTTTTGATGGCACACATCACAGTACGATAAACTCGACTACCTTTTTCTTACAGTACCTGAAAGACGAAGGGGGTCGGTCCGCAGAAGTTCGACAGGAGGTCGGTCCAAACAGCTGCCTCTCCTCATACCTGGGTGTGAAGGGCCTTTGCGTCTTGACTGACCGGAGAGACCTCCGGGCCTCACTGATGATCTCAGCGCTTGTCTTCCTCCTTGGTGAGGGGCTCAAGTAAAAAGGCTCATATTTCTGAAACTTCTTTTCTGCCGAAGACATATTTGAGCTTTGCTAGTCTACTGATTCCAAAGCAAGACCTAGGGACAGAACAGGAAATTCATCTTTGAATTTTGCAACTTATTTTATTAAAGGTTTCCAGCAAAGGTCAGAAGTACCATTAAAAGTGGTTCATACTAATTATTCACCATATGCAATACTCGAAACATTTGATTTGTTGTCTAATGCATGCAGGCATTCCTGTATTACTTTCCAGCCTAATTAAAAGAGTTTTCTTTTCAAGTGACATGCATGTTAAGGTGATACAATAATATTTAATTGATAGTTCACGTGGAATGAATCTGGCATTTAATGCTAATGCAGCAAATATGTAACTTACTGTACAGAAATAAAATGATGATTTTTGTACAGTTTCCTTTGTTAGAATAAACATGCCATCCTGTAATTAGCATATACTTGCACAGTTGTTAGGTGATATTAATGCAATTTATAAGCTGAACCCAAGGGTTGGGTAGTTTCCAACTATATGAACTGTCAAAGAGCTCATATACATTTCTGAATATAGGCTGGAACTTTGGATACTTAATCTCTCATACTGTACATTTCTACCAGTGTGTCTGATTGGGGAGCTGTGTAAAAAATAATAAATATACTGTAAAGAAATTAAACTCAATCCATTTAGAAAGAAATCAGGCAACCATAGTCACTGAAAATGAAATCTCTGTAAATTGTACATTTTAAATGAAATTTTAACATATTGTGTATGTTTATGTAGCTATACGCAATTGAGGCTGCTTACAGTAGCAAAAATACAAAAGAGGTGTAGAAGCTGTGTTTTGTGACCAAAGGAAATAAGGAATGAGCAACGAAAATCCTGTGCAGCTCTGGAACTACGAAATCTAGCTGTCAAGGAGTCGCAGTGTTGACAATACTGACGCAGTTTCTAAAGCACATATTACATAAGGCCTTGGCACTGATCAACGTCCATTGTTTTCTGTGAGACCACATTAAGTCTGTCGAGGCATGTCAACAGGCACTTGATACTACACTGTTACTGTTGAAGCAAGAAAAAAAGTTTGAAATGTGGATAGTGAAGGTACAGTAAGTACTGACAAGAAAAACTCTGTTTCTTCAACGGAATCGAAAACATAATTTACAAAAGTAGCCTCTTTTAACTGTCCACTACCAGAGTCAAGTATTGCAATGATGAAACTGAATCCATCCGAAATGCCTGTGCATTACTCTTCCTCTCACTGCAGAGATGATGTAATGGACGTAAAGTACTAATGGCATGTCATGATGAGACACTGCACATTAAGGCGTTGGACGGCCTTCAGCTGTCAAGCCAGATATGCAGCAACCAAGATAACTCACTAGGAAAAGATATGCTTGTGCGTTAAGAATTAAGAATTTTAATTATGCACTCTCTTTTAAGGACTGAGGTACAGTAATTTATTCTGAAAAAAGAAATTAGTTTCTCCCATCACACACAAACTTTTAATAATGCTTTTGGAAAGAAGTTGTTACAAGTCAAATATACTAGAGAAATCTGAGACACAGGCTCAAATAATTCAACACTGAATTCCATTAAAAAACAGCGACCTTTTGCAGTAATATAATTCTCAGTTTCAAAACTGTTTTTAAATGAATGAAGTCCACCAATAATTAGCTGTCAGCACGATAGCTATATAATTGAAATTCAGTTAGTTGAGATCTATTAGTAATGAGATATTTAACATTATTATGGCTGGCAATTCAAATAGTTACTAAATTAATAATGTTTTTAAGCAATCAATATCTAGAATCAATCAAAAATACCAACAATTTAGCATACTCCTGTATACCATCACAAGTCAAGACATGGCTTTCAGTGAGTGTTAAAATATTTGGGTACAGTATATTAGAACAGAAGACTTGTTTATCAAGAACAGGGCTTTAATAATATTATTCCTAACTATTACATATTTCATTAGGTGACTTCGTAAGTGTTCACTCGATATATTAACCCATGAAACCATCTTGTTCCAAAGAAGGTAGAAGGAATGATGAAACAGAATTTGGGTCCTATTTCTGCTATAGCAAATGCAGAATGTGAGCAAATATGACAAAAAGGGATCTTCACTTTAGGTGATGTTACAGCAAATCAGCAAAGCATTTCATGAAAAGGTTTAATGTAGATCCTAGATTGTAAGTACTGTCCTTAAAAATTAATGAGCCTTTCATTTAATATAAATGAAATGACCTAATTTTAATGAAAGCTGTATGAACGCAGTCTGAGTTTTGAATATACAAGAAAAAATTTGAATTGTTATATATTTATAGCAAGTGACTACATTTAACAATGTAATAAACCTAAGATTCTACAGTGAAACAGTTAAGGTGATTGATGCCTTATGTCTTCTGTATGTTTGGGGGTTTTTTTTGCAACAACTAGAAAAATCAGTTAAACAATTAAACAAATTACTTAAGCATATACAGGAAGTTTCTTAAGGTAATGTACAGTGGGTACTTCTAAACACTTCACTTCATTTAAAAGTAAAATAAGGATTAAATACCCCAGAGGCTGATTTGCAAATATTAAAACTGTGCAGTTAAATAGCCCAACACCCGAATGGAACTGAAGGGAACAAAATCCAAACCCAAGCTTTCTGACATTCCTAGTTTAGATTCTAGTGTATTAAAAACAGGTTCCATAAACAGAACCTGCAGCTACAACATGAATGTTTAAATTGGAAAGGTTAAACGTGGGATGTAGGAGTTGAACGTTATCTGACCTTATAGCACACTATTAACAAAATACAAACTAAAACCTGTTCCTACGGCAATGTGATCACTTTAAAAGCTTGCAATGCGTTATAATTAGCAGAATAACATTATGATATGTCCTCTTGGTCAATAATGATTAATCAGAGTTTGTAATTCTGCACTTATACAATACATGTGTGATACAGCAAGCGTTTTAGTAGCTTTCCTTTATAGGACGATGCAGGTGTTTCACCATTCAACACTAACTGAATGATATTAAAAGATATAAAAAAAAACAACATTTTAAGAGCTCCCCTCACCTGTTGCATACGGCCTGGTAGACCTCAAATTAACACACTTTCCATACTGGATACATCAGTTGTACAGTATATCCTCGGATAAGAATGCTTACCGGAATATTTCTATCATCAAAGATACAAAACGTATTATTTGCAGTAAGCAAATCAGACTCCGCATTTCTAGAATAAAGATTCAGATTAAAAATGCGTTTTTTTAAACAAATAAGCTACTTAAATAATTCACTAAAATGTTATTGCAATCACAACGGTGGGTTTACATCCACAGGGCTATGAATAATTACTGCTATACGTGCACCCTAACTCAGCGGAAGGCAGTAATCAAGTTACTGTACAGTACATCACTGGGTTGTAGAGTAACTGACCTGAGCCCAAACAGCACGTCATGTAAAGCCCTATAGCGCCTTTACTTTTTCTGATGTGTATAACATGTCTTTTTCAACTTGGTGGCAAACAATAATCACCTGAGTCACTGTGGGAAGTCATTTTGAGATTGAAAAAGCGGTCAGACCGGCGCTCACCTCCTCAAAACCTCTGCAGATCCCCCCACGAATGCACCGCGCGCAGGCTGCGTCGCCATAGCAACAGCAACGCAGTCACAGCCGCTGCGACAGCGCAGCCGAGTCAACTCGCGAAATATGTTCGGAAGCGATTTAAATAGGTTGCGTCTACATCTAAAATATACCCGTAGGAGTCATCATACAGCTCGTCTATTGCTTAACTCTCAAATAGCGCTTTTTAGAATTACGTGACAAAACGTAGAAGTACTGCTGCAAACTTCCTGATAATAGAGAGATTTCACATACGTGCAGAAAAATAGTCAAACGCACTTACCACCATTTAAAAAAAAATATGTTGTTGTCGTTCACCAGCGTTTGTTTAAAAAAAACACTGAATTGTCTTTTAACAAAGCGTTGATCTCCTAAGAGTGGAAAGCTGTTGCCTGGATCCCACCTGACCATGTGATAGACAACCGGGTGACGTCATAGTTAGCGAGACGTTTACTTTTGTTGCTTAGGCAATCAGGTGAAGTTGCAGCCGTTATTGATTTTCTGATATGAAACTTGAAAAACATATTTTACGCTTTAAACCCGATATCGTGACCACTACGAATCACATTCCAGTGTCAATAAAACCTAATTTTAATCTTCTTGATTAATCTAGTGTACCACACTATGTAAATTTATATGTGCATATTTTATATACTTTTGAAATGTAAATCAGTGTTGAAAGGGGACACCGGTTAAAAGCAAATATTAAGGTTAAGATATTGTAGCACTTTATACCACCTCAGTTCCCTTGAAACATGACAGTTGTCTTCAGGGAATCTAACGAGTAAACCGGAATCAGTCTAAATTGGGAATATGTAATATATTCACTCATGTATATTGAACCCATTTTGTATTATGGAACATTAATTTGAAATAGTACTAATGTTGCTATAATTTGGAATTCAGGGTTAAATAAAATAAGTCCTGATGGAGATCTATAATTCGTAACGAAAGCAATGTCTTCTAACATCAGTGGCATTTGAACATCCAATGTGATTCACCAGCATCTGTGGAATACTATGCATCTCAATGAATCAGAGAGATGATTAAAAAAAAGAATTTGTTTTCAGGAATTAATACAACAATATTATTGAAGGAATGTATGTTTGAAATTACTGTACTAATCTGTAGTTAAAGTGATACACATTCAGCAGTCTAAAACAGAAAAGGTCTTCTGTTCAAGTCCCTGTGTGTGGCCACCAGTATGTTAAAATAAACAGCCTTGAAGTACAAAAGGTCTGGTTCTCCTACAACTCCCGTCCTGGAAAATAAGATGAGTTTCCTGTCCTGATAGGAATTTCACTAAGTGGTTAGGAGTTGCTGGCAGAGCTCAGTCCCCTGTTTGTGACCCACACTGAGGGCCATCATTGAGAAAATTGGTAGAGGGACAGCACATGTGTGGTTGACTGAAAATACAAGTTCGCTTTCATGATGCAGAGAGGTAATCGGTTTGATAACTTTGTCTCACAGTCAAGTAGTGCTTGGCTTGAGGTTTAAATTGAAAGATGTCTTGACAATTTGAAATGTGCAGACACCTGACATACAGTATGTAAATAGACATGCTATGAGATTTAAATAATTTATGATATGAAAAGCACAAGACAGAGCTGCCAATAGAGGCAGTGGTTACAGAGTAACTACCAGTTTGCAGAGCATGTGGAATTGTTTTTTACAAGAAGGTTTATCCATGTCCTCAACTGTTTTTTTTTTTTACCTTTTGAAAGAGATATCAGATGCAGTGGATCTTAAAAGATTTCTTCTTTGAGACTAAGAGAGCACGTTTTTGCTTCTTGTCCATCCCAAACAACTCAATGGTATAAATAGTAATAAACACTAAAATACTCCAGATACTTAGTCATGCAAGGGAAGGAGACCTTAATGACAGAAATAATGACTTCTGTCGCTTATTTCCTTCCAATGTGAAAAGAAGTTGCTTTCTTTGATTAATTCTATCATAAATTGTCATAAATCTCCATTTATTATTTTCCTATTACAATACACAGTGCAACTGTTTTTCTTAGCATTCCTCATATTTGAACTTTTTTGTTCATCATTTTTGACTTTATGGCATAGAATTTGCCACAGTCCAGGGAGTGCACCTGTGTGTTGTGAGCCCACGTGCGAATGTGATCAAATTCTGGCAGGGGCAGAGCAGAGCTGCACTCTCTGAAGTAATACTGTTACACATAAGGGAAAAAGAGAAATACAAGAGAAAAAAGTTAATAACAAAAATGCAAAGCAGGATAATCAATAATTAAATAAAATAATCCTAATCCCCAAATTGTAAAACATATGAAAGGAATATACATGTACCTGAGAGGCTGGTACAGTTTGAAGCACTTGAGATCTTTGTTCTCACGACCAGCAGTTTTCAAGGTTTTCCACAAATTCTTAATAAGACTCCAGTCAGAAGTTTGACGTGACAACTCAGGGATATTCACTTTCTTATTCTAAAACCGCTCCAGAATAGCTTTGTCCTTCTGCTCTGGATAATTGTCCTGCTGGAAGGTGAATTTTTATTCCCACTTTAGGTCTGAAGCAGGTTTTCCCGTAAGATTTGGCACACTGTGCTGGTTTTGTGTCTGATGTAACACTTATCATTTAGAGACCAAAAGGTTCGTTGTGTTACTGTTGTATGTTGTATTATCACTTAGGTGTTTTGTTGGGATTTGAGATGTTTTGCTGTAGTTTCCTCACAAATCCCCTCTGTGGGGTGACCCGTACTGTATATCGATGACTCGTGGGCATTTTCTCCTATCTCAGCCACTGAACTCGAACACTTTCAAAGTCACCACTGGCCTCACTCTGGCATCATTATCCAGTTTCCTCCTTGCCTGCCTGTTCAGTTTGCATGCCATCACCATGCTCAAAGAGTATAGAAACATCTCAAAGATGTTAAGGATCTTTGAGATGTTTCTATACTCTTCTTCTGAAATAAGGGAAGGGTATAAATATTACAGATATGCAGTACTGGTGACAGTAAAATATACTCTATTCACTTTCCCTTAGAAAATACATCCCTCTTTTCCCAGATTTCTGCAATATTTCTACATTACATCACTTAACAAAAAAAATCTTCTGGTTGGGCAATTCAGAAGCTGATGCACCTTTTAAGAAACTCCTTTAGACCCAAAACATCTTGGGCTTTGCTATTTTATATACTTTGTTGCTGGACACTGCTGATGAAAGAAAGAGAGTGGCCTGGCTTAATGGTTATACAGTAGCTCAGTGCAGAGATTAAAAATCAGCATTAGTTTATGGCTTTCATAAATCATTTCTCCCCATTTCATGCCAGTGCATAAAACTGCTGATTCCTTAGCTCATAATTAAGTCCTAAACGCGCAGTGCAGCTTTTAAAAAATGAAAGCCTTGGATTAGTCACCAAGCTTCATAAAAAGAGTATTACAATAAAATTAGTTTGATCTAATCAGAGGCTGCTCATGGATTAATTGTGCAATCAGTATTCATTTCAAGAACAAAATTAGGGCTCAAATGACTTCTTCACAAAAGGTTCTTTTCTAAAAATAAAAATCATTGTTCATGACATGTTGCCTCCTGTTGCCTGGTTTCCCTCTTACATGGATTCTCCTCTCTCAAAACAGAAAAGAAAGACTTAATATATATAATGTAGGCTACAGTATATAGTCAATCACTGTGATGCAGTGGTTAGCATGGCTGCCTTGCAATGCTGAGGCACGGGGGTTCAATTCCTGGGGTACTGTTTGTGTGGAGTTTGTATTTTCTCCCCCTCCAAAGACATGTCAGGTCGGTTGACTTCTGGGAAGACTGGCCCTGGTTTGTGTGTGTGTACGTGCGCACGCCCTGCGATGGACTGGTGTCCCATCCAGTCCAGATATTAAGTGTCCTGCTTTGTGCCTGTTGCTTTCTGGGACAGGCTGTGGCTCCCCCTGCAACCCTGTTGTTATGTCGCGCACAGCGTCCATTTGGGGTTTACGGCGCTGCTGCGCTTTGGGTTTGGGGAGTTACCACTTAACGGTACTTACAGTAGGTGCCTTGGCGGGTTTATGCCATTCTGTGTCAGTTAAGAGTTATGCACAATAAAGAGCAGACATCTGTAAAACCCGTCCGCCTCAGTCCCTGGTTTTCTGTTGTGTAACACCTGTATTGTACAAAGTGTTTTAGAAAATACTGCAGATAGGTAAATGGATGGCTGAGACAGCAGCTTCCACACTTTTGCCTCATGTACTGTAATACAAATTTCATGAGTATGAAAATGCTTACAGCCACTATTAGGGTTTGCTAAGGTCATGGAGTTAGGATTGGGTTTCAGTTATTTCAGTATCATTTAGTTTAGAGAAAATGTAAGGTAAGGTCTAACATGAATGAGGGCTATTTGTTTGTGATAGGACATGGGTGATGGGTTGGGCAAATATCAGAGGTTGTGCTTTTTGTTAAGATCAGGTCAAAAGTTTGGGTTCCAGTTAACTTTGTACTAATGCTATGGTGATGTTTAATGATATGATTGCAGATAAGAAATAGTGCTGAATTCAGGAAAGGATCTGTGTTTGGGTTCAAGACATGTTGGATAGAATTAATTTGATTATCATGACTAAAGTTAGGTATCACTAGTTAAGGAAATGTCACGATCGTTACTCCTCCTCTTAAGGGCGCTCCAGCCCTTCCTCGTTCTGTCCCATTCCCCACACCTGTTCCTTATTCCAGCCCCTCTTTAGTTCCACCTTTAAAGCCAGACGCAGGCGATTGCTCGGGGCTTCTAATTGATTTCCGTGTCGTGAGAGCCCGGGGTCCTGCCGCGTCTGGCTCCGTTATGGTTTTAGTTTCCTGTTCCTGATTCCCTGCCCCGCCGGTCCCGACCCGGTTCTGGTTTTAACTACGGATGGATCCCCTGGTCTTGGACTAAACCTCCCGTCTTGAATTCCCCCTCTGGATTTACCCTTGGATTGTTCGCCCTGGATTCACTCCCCCCGGACACTAGCACTGCATGGACACGCCCCCTTGTCTCCTGACCGACTCCTGCATGATATTTTTCCCTATTGTTTCTTCACCTTTCGGATCGTGTCGTCCGCATAGGGCCCGGAAAGAACTGTTCGTTACAGGAAAGGAATAAGTTATGGTTAACTGTACCTATTTATACACAGAATCTTAATTTTCTATGAAAAGTGGTCAGGGACTTTTGGAATGGCTGTGCTGTGTTATTTTCC